CTGTTTCTGGCACAAACAATTGTGCTTTTTGGAGTTTATATTTACTCTCTATTTAGAGGAAAAGAGGAAGTAAAAGTTGAAATCTTAAAAAAAAAAAAGCGAAGAAAAGAAAAGGTATGTGCTGCTGGGTTTACACTACCGCAGCCAGTCATTTATTTAAGAGACACATAAATTCAGTTTATTTGGAAAAATCAGCCAGAACAGTTGTTAGCTTTGTGGTCAAGAGAAAGATACTGATATCATCATGTGGAAAGTTTAAAGATTTTACCTGGCTACTAGAAGTTTCCTTCTATATCAACATGTCAGGAGTAGTTCTGAGTAGAGACTGCAGATGGTTTTAACTGTTTCTTTTTGCGTATCCAGCTTTCTGATTTTTCTACAGTGATCACAGTTTATTTGTTAATGACCAAGAAAAAAATCCCCACGCTACCAATCAACAGGTCTTTCAGCATGGGGTTGGGGTGGGGAGGCCGGGGGGGGGGGGGGGAGGGGGAGAAGCGAACAGGCTAAGCCACATCTGGCAACACCGGAGGCCTCAGAGCAGCTCCTGACTCGGACAGGACTGGGTCTGGCCCCAAAAGCAAGAGCCTGGAGGAGCGTGGGGGTGCAGCTCGCCCAATGGCTTCCTGGTAAATAAGAGCAGGCATCCATGGGTCCTACAACTGCACTGACCTTTCAACTATTGAAAGCATAGCCTTGTGGTTAGAGCCCCACCTGTGCAATCAGACTGCCAGGGCAGGTAGGTGCTCACTTAGTGGGTGGATGACCTTGAACAAGTCAATTAGCCTCTCTATTCCTGTTTTCCCATCTATAAAATAGGAATCACACTGCCACCTACCTCCTAGTGAGGCTGTGAGGATTGAGAGAGAGGGCCCAACATACGAGAGATCACGATAAATGTAAGCCATTATTAGGTGTCTGCCAGGAAACACCAGCCCTCTAGTGCACTCCCCAAATCATGTGCCTGGATCGCAAAACAACTAAAGAAGGGTCCAAAGAATAAAGCCTTTCTTTTCCCTTCTTCTTTGCTGACGGCAGGACCGCAGCATCGTGTTTGCTATAAACCCAGTGCTCTTGGGAGCAATGGTAGGATGAGGGCGGCCCTATAAAATACACAACATGTCCCAAGATCCCACACTATGAGCTAAAATCCTGCGTTCAAAGTTACAGGATTTCTAGCTGCTTGCCACTGCCTTTGGAAAGGGGATGGGTGATTCAAGTGTGAGCTACGACTTGGCAAGGGGACACATAGCCAGAAGGCCTCCAGGCAGGAGACTCCAAAAAGGGCCACCTGCTGACACAGTTTGTATACAGGCAGCCCTTGAGATGGAGGTGACATTCTGCTGTCACTAGCAAATTCTGATAGGAATAGTGAACATTTCAAAGATCCAAAAGAACTAACTATTCTGGCGTCATAACTCCGAAAAACTTTTTTTGGGGGGTGAGGAGGGCAGGCTGAAGATAGGAGCAGACACTTAAAATCACTGGAGTACCTTAACCAGACATAAAGAGCAGCCCCCAAAAGTTCAATCGCAAATCAAACTGCAAAGAGTTTCACGGGTATTTTGAGCTAAAATGCATTACATTTATATGAAACAGAACTTTCTTTCTCAAATTTAAAATCAGCTCACTTTATCAAAGATATAGAGAAACCTCCTAATGTCCATCTAGGAGGAAATAATCACATTATTATATTAATTACATAGGTGAGTATGTTCTATGCTGCACAGGGTGACCAACTCATCGTGGTTTGCCTAGAATTTTCCCAGCTTTAGCACTGAAAGTACCACATCTTAGGAAACCTCTCAGTTCTAGGCAAACCAGGATGATTGGTCCCCATATCACTGCAAGAAAAATGACGTGTGCTGTGTGAAGAGAAAAACAGAAGAGACACAGTTACAAATGCAGAAGTGCTAAATGCTAAGTTTGTTTGTAGCAACAGCTCCCAGTTCCCTCTCACAGTAAAAAAAAAAAAAAAAAGGTAACTTAATTAAAAAAAAACTAAAAACCACATTTGCCTCTCCCTTTTTTAAACTATCCCAAAACAGAGTTCAGAAGAGAGGGTCCCTCCTTGTGCATGACCGAGATGCCGGTGCGGGACCGACTATAGACGCAGTGACCGCCATCAACCCAGTAAGCTCCTGTCCCCGGCTTTAGCAGGACCAGAAATGTCATCTTCTTACATTCTTTCCTTTAGGCAGGTTTAAAAACAAACCAAGATGGCTTGTGATTCAGGGTATCAACAATAAGAATGTGTCCGGGAAATCGGGATATCAAGCTAAAAATCCAAGAGCCATCGCGAAAAATCAAGGATCAGCTCACAAATAGGGCACTGAAAGATGACGGAGGAACCGGGAAGGGACTGTTTCACCAGCAGCTGAAGGGAGAGTCAGGCACTCTTCTACAAACTCTATGGCAGAGGCAGTGACCCCAAGCACGCAGCCCCCCTACCCACAATGATGGAGCAAAACTCTTGTAGCAGGAACTTAAGCAAAGGGTTTTTAAGCCTCCGGTGAGGTTATGAACCAGCATCTAAGATTTTAGTTTCAAACTGAAAGGTAAGACTATATAAGGTAAGAAAGACCACACATTTCCTGGACCCAAAGCCACACAGAAACCTTCGTTGCTCACAACTCCACCCAGCCCAGACCACCTCCTCATCCAGCTTCAGTCTGGCCTTGTCCCAAGAGAGGATGGCAATTCTTAGATGTTCCTGAACCTCAGAACTCCTTAGATCCCTTTTATGCATCTGGAGATGGAACCAAATGCAGGCTATATGACTCTTTTTCTCCACAGCGATACTAGCTTCTTTGGGGAAGGGAGGAGATGTAGTCAGAAACATTTTAAAAGACAAACAGCTTTGGGGGCACCTGGGTGGCTCAGTCTTTAAGCATCTGCCTTCGGCTCAGGTCATGATCTCAGGGTTCTGGGATTGAGCCCCGCCTCGGGCTCCCTGCTCGGCGGGAAGCCTGCTTCTCCCTCTCCCACTCCCCCTGCTTGTGTTCCCTCTCTTCGCTGTGCCTCTCTCTGTGAAATAAATAAATAAAATCTTTAAAAAAAAAAAAAAAGACAAACAGCTTTGAAAGTCCTATGCTGATAAGTCAAGAAGAACTTCCTTTCTTTCTAAGACCAAGAAATGTACTTTTCCCTAGTGTTGATCTTGATTTAGGAGAGGATGCCTTCTTGTAACCCTTTCAACACATCCAGTGAGAAGACGGAGGTGTCTTAAAACCTCTAGCAAAAAGCACAGAAGCCTGGAAGGCAGGAGACAGGACAGAAGCTAGTTTCAGCAGCAATACAGGCCAACAGCTGTGGTCCTTGAGGACCGCGTGCTTCACTTCTTCAGATCTCAGGTTCTGCATTTTAAAAAAATGAAGGATTTGGGCTAAGATTGTCTTTAGCATCTCTTCCAACACTAAAATTTTATGTGAAATTCTGTGGTGTATGTGATTATAACAATAATGCCCACTAGATTCATTTTTTTGTACTTTGAAGATTTAGGAATTAGAGGCAAGTATAGTAACTGTAACTTGGGCCAGCAAGGATGGCATGACCAGGACAGACTAAAACTGGAAGATTTTAAAAAAAGCAAATGTCTAACAGTTGTCAAAGTATGTGACCAAAAAAGGTGGAGAGAATCCTAATATCAACTTACAAACACTTTTAAATGCTCTGGGACCAATGGGAACAAGCAGATTCCTCACAATTACCAGCTGTTCTTCCTGCTAAATTTGAGGATAAGATGAATGTTAATTCAGTGATCTCTCCTCCACGGGGGAAAAAAAAAAAAGCCTGTAAATACTTAGAGAAAACAAAGCAAATTTTGAATCTAAAAGATATGGGAGCAAATCATTCTGGTGCTTGACTGAATCTAAATCGCAGGATGTTCTGGCTGGATTCTACCTGGGGACAGCAAGGCAGCTGATGCACCCCATTCGAGATGTAGGAGATGTTTCATACCAAGGAATGGCATGTTTGATAGGGTGTCAAAGTCAAGACTGCCTCTGCGCCTACCAGGACTCCAAACAGTGTTCATTTCACTGTCCATGAATAAACAGCAGGAGGAGAAAAAGCAAGCTGTTTCCTTTTTTCGTGAAAGGAGCTGCAGAGTTTGGTCACGCAACTTGGTTGGGCGCCTGTGGGTGTCAATATCCTAAGAGCAGCAAAGTCTGCAAAGGTGGGGTGTTTCCATTCCAAAGACCTACAGCAAGGACTGTCAACCGGGTGAGCAAATAACCTCACTTCTCCAAACCAGGACTCCGAAGCCACCCTGTGCGGTGTCTCAGCCAGGAAAGCAACAAAACTGATACACACACGCACAGAGAGGGTGGTCCGCTGCTGTGAGTGGAGCCCTGGGGCTTAGCCTCCCGGGAGAGACGGGCCAGAACCAAAAGCGCCTTCTCCAAGGGTCTCCACCGCGCACCACGCACACACAGCCTCTGGGCGACTAAAGAGGAAGTCAGAATGTCATGTCAAAAGGATAAAGACAGCTCGACCACACAAGAGCCGCGGTCTGGGCCGGTCTCCCGCTTGGCTCGGGGAAAGGTCCCAGGCTGCTGCGATCCTTTCTCCCTCTCCATCCATCCGTCCTCCTTCCGCCAGCACCCGCTGGAGGAGCCCACGCTGCGCAGCACGGTAGGAGCCGGAGGAGCACCTCGAGCCTCCCCTCCCCCTGCCCAGCCCGGGCCCGCGGACAACGCACACCCGCGCTCAGCGGCGCCCCGGCTCGCCCGACGCCCGCCGGCCCCTTCCCCAGCCCTCGGGCGCGCCGCGGGCAGCGAGCGGAGCGCGCAGTTCCGACGGCCCAGCGCGGAGACGGCGCAGGGGAGGAGAGCCCCAGCCGCCGGCTTTCCGAGCAGCCGGCGGCCGCACACACTCCTCCCCTTCGCCGCGAGTAAACAGCTCGCGGGCGCGCTCCGCGCCGCGCCCCCATCCCCCCGCCGGGGCTCCGCGCCGCCCCGCGCCCGCGCGTCCCGCCCGCCGGCGCCGCCGCCCCCTACCTGGTCGGTGAGTTTGAGCACTGCCATTCTTCCGCTCCTTCGCGCGCACACACATACAGGTCCCCGGTCCGCAGATGTCACGCCAGGAGCCGGGAAAGCGGAAGGGATTGCCAGGGGAAGGGAAAAAAATCTGGCTCCCGAATTTGACAGCCCTCCCCCTGCTCCTCCTCCGCCGCCGCCTCCTCCCGCCGAGAGGCTGACACTGGCTAGTGGGGTTTGCAGCCGAGCCCGCCCGCCTTTATACAGGAAGTACCGGCTGCTGCCAGCCGGGCCGCCACTGACATCACCGCGCGCTGGCTCGCTCGCGGCCGCGCCGCCTGGGCCGACGCTGCCTCCTGCCGCCCGCAGCCGGGCCTCGCAGCCCGCGGCCCCCCGAGCTCGCCCGCGCCCGCGCCCGACGCGCCGTGGGGCCAGACTGCCGCCTGCTTTCGGCGCCTGCACACTGCGCCCAGGCGAGCCGGCCCCGCTGCCCTGCGGCCCCGAAGGCGTTCGCGGTGAGAGACGCCCCACCCGCGCCCCGGGGCTGAGCGTGGCCCTCCCGAGCCCCATCTCACACACACGGACACACACGGACCCAACCTGATGAGCAGGCCCTTGCAGACACAAGCCTCGGGGTGTGACTCACAGGCCACCAACTTTAACCCGAGCTTTCACCTGCGAGATTCGGTCAGTCACACTTCTGCTCAACCTCCCGCCCTCATCCGGAACCAGACTGCCCAACACTCCAAATTATCCCACCTAGGTCGGGGATTGTGGTTCTGGGGCTTTCTTTGTTTAATGCGGGGAGGCCTTGGACACACTGTAATTCTTTAGCGAGTGTTCGTCAAACACTGGGAGGTGGGGGACAGGGGCTCTAGCCCCTCCACCCCGTTCTCCAGCTAGGCACACACAAAACTCCATCGTTAAGTTCAAACACTGGGTTTTGAATTCAGGAGATGGAGGTGGAGCAGAGTTACTGGAGAAGAAAAGTCCTAAATTAGAAGTCCTAAATTACTGGGGCTTTTGAGTGTTGTCACCAGTCCTGACTCATTTCAACAAAATCCAGTTACCGTGCTCTTCAACAAATAGAAGACTTAGCTATCAAACAGCATGGGATACAGATACAGTGGTAATATGCACCAATCGAAGCAAGTGTTGATACTTCTGGAATTTGGAACAAACATTTATTCATTCAACAGCTGTGTAATGAGCGCCTACTTTGTATCAGATACCAGTTAGGCACAGTATGAAAGGCAGGGAGAATAAACAGGGAAGATACCTAGTCTTAATGGGTGTCCTACATAAACCACAAGGTCATAACTAATGAATGTAATCACAGACTGATAAGGGATGGGGGTGGGGTGCTTCTGAAGGAAATCCATGACAAAGGAATCAGACCCAGACTGGTGGGTGAGGGCAGGCTTCCCTGAGAAAGTGACAAGAGTTGAGATTCTGGAGGAGGAAGAGTTAAGTAGGCAAGTGGGTTGGGGTATTGCTCCCAGGTAGCCCCCTGTGCCCCTGGCATGCCACAAAGCAAACCTGCCTTGAACAGCAAACCGGAGCTGGAGTTCGGGGTTAAGACCAAATACCTACCCTTGATTCATTCACAGACCAAGTGTGGACTCTTCCTCCTTTCAGAGTGTCTCCGAAGATTCCATGTGGGAAAGGGAGAAGGGACTGGTAGCATTTGCTTAGCATCCTCCTCTTTATTACCTAACCATGGAATTGTGACTCAGATCATACAGACAAGGGAGCTAAGAAAGTACGCTCCTGGCTTCCACTCCTCTATCTTCGTATTTCTCCTCAAGTCCTCCTTCAAACACAAAATAGATCACATTTGTTGTATATGGGAGGCAGTTCTTCACCATGGTTGTTGGCATTTGTATTTACTAATATCACCCTGCATGGCTTTGTAAGTAAACTGAATAGGACACAGAATTCTCTACTAAAACTTAGCCATCTTTCAGAAGAGTGATGGTAAATTATTTAATCTGCAAATGCACTCAAGATCCACTTTGGCTCATCACGGCCATTCCTATACATAATTTCTTTGGGCCCAATTTAAAAGGAGGAGGGAGGTATTCTCAACCCTATCAGACCCATCACCTGCTTTTTATAACTACTATTTTTAAACACTCCCCTTACTGTCCTGAAATGAAATTCATACATAATATTAACTACCTATGCAAATTTCCCAAGAAATCAATTTAATCTCCTAATTACATAATAAAGGAAAATAATTTGTAATTAACTTGTATTAGAAGACAAAATAAATAGTAAGATGCTTACACTTGTATGTAGAACTATTGTGAATGAGAGAACTGTAAGTAGAGACCAATATAAATGTTTTATATTAGCAACTCAAATATCAATATTGGTGTTGTCAGAGGTGATGTGATTTTGTGAAAGGCTGAACAGTTTTTGGTCAAGTTCCAAACAAAATAAAGAGCAAAGGATTGGGCTAAATTTATTGATATGGGTGGATTTACCATAAAGCCTGGATTTAATGTGTTAGTTCATACATTGAAAGTGACTCTAATGGTTTGTTTAATTGGTTAGCTAAAACTCAGACCCATTGGTGATCTATATTCAATGAGACTGAGATGCCCAAATGTCCCTGGTATAATGTAGAGGAAGAAATCCAAAGGTTCATGGAGATGGCAATGTTGGAGTGATTTTATGTATAATGTGTATACCCAGCCCTGAACTATATACCCCTGGAGGCCCAGATGACTGTCTCTACACTAAGGCATTGTAAAATACTTCAGTAAGGGGAACACCAGAAAAGCTCTGTAGTAGCTGGATTTGATGGCGGAAGATGCTTCCATCGAAATTGCTCCCTGATTTCCATGACACTGGGATCCTGGGATGGCGATGGCCAAGTGACACTGCTTAATTGGCAGGGACAGAGTGGACACATTTACTGCAGTGAGCAGCAGGGGCAACATAGGACTCAAAGGTCTTGACCTACAGGGATATTTAGTAATGCCCTGGGTGGCCCTAGGAATGATATAGATGGACAGACTTCTGAAATATTCCTTGATCTCTATAGCAGGCAAAACTAGGTCTGCTGCCTGAAACCTGACTCGAGCCATCAGAATGAAAAGTCATCCTTCTCAACCAGTTTTCATACCTCAGCCAGTTCACAGACCCCTTGATTGAAAGGGAGGCTTATCCCCTTAAGGACAGAAAACCAAAAGCAATACCAAATCCCTGGAGAGATGTAAAAATTAGTACCAGCATAAAAGATGTGGTTGATGCAGCAGTCATGATCCTATCATTTCCCCCATTCAACTCACCTGTCTGGCCTATGCAGAAGCAGATGAATCTGAGAGAATTATTATGAATTGGTGTAAACTTAATCAGATGGTAAAGCCAGTTGCATCTGCAGTTCTATCTTTACTGCAGCAAATCAGCACAATCCTAGGTACCTGGTGTACATCTACTGATACGGCAAATGCTTTTTTATCTATTCCAATTTGCACCAAAAGCTGTTCTCTTTTCTATGACAAGGCCAACAGTTCACTTTCATAGTCTTTATGGGATGTAAACTCTCCTGCTCTCTGCCATAATCTAGTCTGCAGAGAATTTGAGCACTGTATTAAAGACATCAAGGGGCAATCCTGAGAACCACTGTACTGTTGTGATAATAGCCTATGATTTCAATAAATCTGCCCAATTTACTGTATCACATTTCACTGTGGTTTTATCTACTTGATTTATGCTTTTTAAATTTTCCTAAGTATAAATACCCATGAATGTATGTGTATGTCTATATATTCATGTGTGTGTATATGTATGAATGTACCTGTATATACACTTACGTGTGTATGTGTACATTAACATGTAAACATATGATGCTGTGGCGTCCCACCTGGCTCCCACCTTCGGGACCAAAGTCCTTATTCCCCCAACTGCTGGGAGTGTTGCCGGCTGACAGCTTGAAGCTGAGTCTTCCCCTAGGAATTGCCCTCAGCCAAAAATAACCACCTCGACCAAGGTGACAACCCCTCCCTGGGGGTTATACAGATCCAGTGAGTGCAAGAATACAAAGGCCTTTTAGGTGTTCCTAAAAGCATGCCCCAGTAAGTCTTAGCATGCAAATCTCCATCTCAGAGGCCAGTTCCTGAGGAGCCCCACCCAGTATAATCATGTATTTTGACTTTACACTGGTGGTTTACATAGTTCATACCTTGTTTGTAAATATATCAGCACCACCTCCCTGGCCCAGCTGAAAACCACAGGCAGAGGTATGTAAATGATTGCTGAATGAGGTGAAATTTTGGATGAGGTTACCTCACGATCTCAACATGGAGACTCTTCTGTTTTGCAACTAGTGTGGCCTTTGACCGAATAGTTAAGGTACAGGGGATCCATGGGTGTCTTGGGGCTAGCAAGTGATCCTCACAAAGCAGAACCAAGGTCCTGGCAATCCAGGCTAAGAAGGTAAGAACATTTAATTAATGTAATTTTTATATTTTTTAAATATATCGAAGCACTATGTATTTCCACACATACCATACTTCCTGGACCCTAAAAAGCCATAGAATCTCAGTTTGTACCAATTGTTTAACAGAACCTAGTAGGGGGGAAGATGAAATATTTCCACCCCACTAAATGATCCATATTCAACATGTCAACACATTTAAAGCACTTTATAACAGTACCTGGTACAAAGATGAATGTTATCTATTGTATTAAAATATGGAAAGATGCCATCCTAGAAATGAAGAAATATGGTTTTTTTTAAAAATATTATAAAGTTATTTTTGGTGTTGATTTGTTTAAAGTTATGTACTTTATTTTTTAATTTTTTATTTAAATTCTATTTAGTTAACATATAGTGTATTATTAGTTTTAGGGGTAGAATTTAGTGATAAATTTATGTACTTTAAAACAGGAAATGCCTTCTTTGACTCTTGGTCTTTACTGTCCTTGACTGTAACATATATATAATCAATACATTAAGTATTTCATACTTTTATTTGCTATTATTCATCTATTGTATTTAATTTAATGAAGGATAGTCAGAAGAAAGGCAGGCAGGGACAAGCTCCACCCCAAGAGGAAAACTACCCTTAAAAGAAAAGAGACCCCATCCTGTTAATCTAGGTTTTACTCAGTGCCCCAGCTTTTAAGTCTTCCTACTGGGAGGACTTACTACTTGTATGTGACAGAAAGAAAGGGAATGGCCTTGG